TAAAAAAAGAAACGTTAACCTGGTTGCCGAGCTCACGAAGTGAATTGGCTTGTTTTACAACGTCGTTGCCAAGCGACGAAAACCCAACCCCGATGGCAAACACCGGGGGGGGAAGGTTTAGCCGGGGGGGGGGTCTACCATGTAAACAAACAGACATGGTGTTGAATCCAACCTGTCGCCCTCAACAGGGGAACGGTACTTACAATACTATGTGTACAAGCAACGTTGCGGGAGCGAGGGGAACGCAGGTGCACACTTTGACGCAACCATCTCTTCCTTGTGTTCGTAGCCAGTTCAGAGTCATGCCCCCATGAAGTGCGGCCACGGCAGTCACGTGTAGGAAGCTCATCAATCTCCTCCGAAGCAAGGCCGACTTACGTCATATGCCAAGCCTGAGCATAGCACCAAGAGGAATAACTGTGAACGGCAGTCAGAAATTGCTTCTGCCTTTCTCGTAATGTTTCGTTGTCTGGAAGCGCATCGCAAGTGCCGACTACTATCCCTCTCTGGGATCAGGAGTCAGCCGATGTAACCAAGCGGGCGCAATCGGAATAAGATTCCCGAATTGGTGTTCCGTACCGTATTCCGTACCGTGTCCCCAGCGCCGTCGTCTACCAATCTTCCGCTTTGCATTCTTGCCTGGCCCCACCCACCCCTGACGCGAAGACACGAACCCCCTCTCCTCCCCGAAATCAACCCATGGCATATCTGGCTGGCACAGCACACGCAAAGACGATGAAACGTAGCCTGGGCCGGCTACACCTGGTATATCGCTTCCGTCCCGGCACTGTAGGGATGCGAGGTCAATGGTCTAACAACCGAGGCATGCGTTTACGTGAGTACCCCTCCCCTCCCCTTCTACCCTCTTGGAGGAGGTGCCCTCCACTTGGAGCAGGACCATTCCTCCATCTCGTACGAGATGCGGGTGGCCAAGGGCGCAAACAATACTAATAGTACAAAGTATGCATAGAAGTATGTGGTAAGGCAACGCAGCAAATGAGGACGAACCCCCCCCCCACACACACGCCGACATTACACACGAATCCTTCCCTCAAGCACTAGCTTGGCGGTGGCTCACCAGGTAACAAGTATAGGGTCTCGATTGCTGGAGCCGAGCGAGTTCTTCAGGGCTCCGTCCTTGCCGTACCCCTCCAGCAGCGTGTTGAAGCCGCCCGGCACGTCCACCACGGGGGGGAGGTTGAACCTGCATTCGTGAAATTTGGGTTTTAGGGAAGGGGGAGCGGTGGGGGATATGCAAATAGCCGTGGAAGCCGTAGTCTTTTAGACACTCACCTCGCACCCCTACGTAGCCAGGACGGGACGGGACGGGGGTATTTCGCGTTGTTCTTGCTGGCTTGTGTTGCTGTTGATGTTGTCGCTGGTTGCTGTTCTTGTCGTTTCTATGCTGAGACGAACACCATCTCCATGGGTTCCCCCTCATGGACAATACTTCTTTATCAAGGAATCTTGGGGCCCTACAAACTGGTCACTATTCCTTAAGCCCCCCCCCTCAAATGGGGCCGGCGTTTTCCGTCAAGGACAGCAGAGACCCAACTGCCTAGAGCGTTCCTTTGGCACCGGAAACAAACAGGCAGTGTGATGGAGCCGACTACCCCCGCTGCCGGAAAGGAACTCGGACAAAAATCGTGCTTCTATCACTGGTGTCGTAACCTGTTATCGACGACACCACCCCGGGGGCCTTCTTTCCCTTCCGGCACGAAAGCGACAGTCCTGATAAGGTGTCTGTTTCCGATGCAGAAACATTTGTTTCCGAATAGATCGTTGAACACCTACTCAGACATATCATCGTACACGAACGGACACCGGTTTCGTAATGTCTTCGACGATACTGCCGGACACAGAAACTTCCCTGCTACTGCCGTGTCAACATGTGCCTCTCATGCCGTCTCGATGAATATACAAATCGTAAACTCCAGCCACTACAGGGGAGCTGCACTGTCCCAGGTGGCGAAGAACAAAAAAACAATAATGAGTCCTCCTCTCACTCGCTGAGCTTCTTGTTAGCTTCGGCGACGGATCCCGCAGAAGCAGGAGAAGGAACCCCCGTGCCGACAACGACCGCTCCCAGAACTGCCGCGCCAAACGTGCTCAGAGCTTCCGAGCGGGAGCACGCAGATGACGCGAGACCCTCCCGGTCCGATACGCCCATCGTCGTCGTCGCTGCTACCCTGTCACCGTCGTCGCAGCGGGACAAAAAACAGGGTGCGACTGAGCCTTGGTGTTATTTTGGTGACAGGAGGGTTCGGCCTTTTCGTCGCAGTAGCCTTTGCAGAGGCTTTCTGTTAACTGCACGTGTTGGATAAAGCATGCAATCGGGGAAGTTGGGTTATGGATGGCGTCTGCGTAGCCTCTCCCTGTTCTATTTCTCAGGCGGTCCGTTTGTTGACGTAGCAGGGATCTCGCCTCGCCCTGTTGCTGCCGAGATAGGGTCTTCATGTGCTGGTATGCTACTATTAATAGTTAATCCCTATGCCGTCCTAGTTTGCCGACAGCAGTAGCGTTCACACAACCCACAGCAGTGTGTGGTTCCCCAATCGTGGAGCGGATACTTTTTTTGCCACTGCCCCGCATGATACTGGGGACACCTAAACACTGGATGATCAAATAGAGCCCGCAGGGGTGAGAAGCTGCTGCCGCAGAGTCTTTGATGTTCGCGCGGAGGAGCCACCAGTGAAGTGGCTTAAAACAATGCGGGCGAATTGCAAGGTAACTGCCAAAAAGGGAACGAGTGCTCTCTAGGTTGCGTCTAAAGAAACTTGACTGGAGTTTCGTTGCGCTGACGACGCCAAGAAACCTCTCGAGCAAGAATCATGGCAAGCACATCCAATCAAAGCGCAGTGCAGACGAAGACAATCCTCCGCATCGGCGACACCGAGCCATCCCTTGCGCAAGAAAAAATGGTACAGCACAGCGATAGCCGACCAAAGGGTACACGGTCAAGCCGAAGAGAATATCTTTGCTACGAAATGAAGACGCCTTCGGCCGAAACCGTCACCATGTGACGTCACGGTTGACTCCAACGTCATGGCTTACGACGCGATTCGCCCGAAAGCGCCTTCCCACTCCGAGCTCACCTGCTGCTACTAGCCTGCCGAAAGCGGGAAAAAAATAGTGAGGATGCGGCAGCGGCGGCAGCAGCGGCAGCAGCGGAGTGCACGGGGGGGGAAATACGACGCAATCGGTAGGTATGTGGTAGCGTAGTAGCGTACATGGCACTCGACAACACCTGGGAGCCCAAACCACGAAGGTTTGGGCATGGAAACACACATTTTGGCATGCCGGTTATTGCTGTAGAACGCCTTTACCTTTGGCGGGAAGAGCGGGGGGGTTGAATGGATAAACCACGAACACCCCCTTCATACCGACGTCGGAGCTAGGGAATCCCACCTAGTCTACCACGCATGATTCAGAAAAAAAAAAAGGATTATCAATGTACAGGCTTCATCCTAGAACGTACGAAAGAAACGCACAAGCGCGGGTTTGAGCGATTCAATTGACAGGAGGGTAGCCTCTTAGCTAAGTCAGGCGACCTGGTTTCGCGCCCGCAGCCTGCTGCTCGCTACTGCACTTAGAGGGAGGATACCTTCACGCCTCTGCTGCACACAAGAACCAAACCGCGGGGAGGACCACCGTGTATGCCATGTCCATGTAACATTTTTTTGTGGGCGGGGCAGCCTTCGTACTTCTGGCGGTTGCATTCTACGGAGGCGGTTGGAATCAAGCTGTAACGGCAAGTCGATGGGGGGGGGTATATTGTGCGCGAACGTTGAGAGCGGCTGCTGCCGGGCTGGATAATCGTGAGTATCTTCTCCGTTCAAAGCAGGTACTTGATCTATACAAGGAGGTGGTCATCCCCCCGATCGACAACACCGCGGTTGCGTAACCTGGCGACAACTTTGCCGAAGTGGCTTGGGAATCCAACGCACAGCAGCGCAGGCTATGTCCAACAAGCAGCTCGTGAGGAAAGTTCATGCCAAGGCGTCTTTCCGTCGGGCATGTCCGTCCGCGGCGGGTGCACACGGCAGCATCCTCTCCCCGTTCCCTTTTCACGCCCCTACCAGCCGAACCGACACATCGGCGCGCGGCACAGCGGCACAGCCAAAGTCTGACACACATGGACGGGGTATATCATACGTTGCGTAAGGGCCTTGAGCAGATGTTTTTGGGTCAGAAGCAAATGCCGACATTGCCGCAAGTGTTCATGCGCAAGGGATCTCGATTGCCAGGGTTCAACGCACCCCTCTATTTCCCTCCCTCTCTTTCAGATCTCTCCCACGTGTGTTACCACATAACGAGCTTTCATCGCACCAGGCTAAACTACATGTGCTGCATACGTCGCTGTCTCGTCGGTGTTCATGTTGCTGATTCACATGAAAAATGAACGACATACCTGTCGTGCTGAGACCGGTGCCACCGGAACGCCAGGTGTAATGAATGCATTGATCCCTCCCGCCCAGCAAGCTGCGACCGCCACGGCTGCCTTCATTGTTGGCTGGGAGAGTGGACTCAAGTTGTCCACGGGAGAGAGAAGAGAAGCACAGCAGCAGATGACACAGCGACAGAGCAAGAGAGCACAGCAGCTGAGCTGCTGCCGACCAAGATGCAGCACTGCAGCGGGGGAGGGTCGAAATTCCTATACGTGGAGCCCCTCTGTTGCTCTGCACCGACGGCAACACAGCAGACCATTCGATGAAAGGGAGAGATAGAGGCTTTGGATGGTAGGCTCCAAGCCAGCAGCAGCAGCCCCGTTGGCGCTGTCGCTATTAGCGTGCCATGCTCTTGGCCTTTTCTCGGATATGACGGCGCAGGCCTTCACACTCGCCAGCAGCAGCAGCAGCAGCAGCAGCAGGAACCGGCATCATCACAAGGCAGAGTTGAAGAAGCACACGCGCTACCGCTCGCGGACAGCAGCAGCCTTGCGGGCAGCGCACCAGGAGGGTTATCCGGATGGGGATGCTTGGTGGGAAGGAGACATCGATCCCTGGACCGAGGCAGAAAGCAGGGTAAGCGTTTGGGGGGTTGAGCACACGCGCCAACACCCGCGCGTGCGTGGCAGGTCATGCACTGCTGTGAAGAATCACACGCCTCAGCGATTGTCATGTTTCCAACAGCGCCGCACTGGGCGGTGACGCCGGCAGCAGTCTTGAGGGTACGCGTACATTAGGATGGAAGCGTTAACTATACTGTATTACATTCAGGCGCTACCATTACGTGGGGCCCAAGTACGAAGGCTGGGATGGATCACTACATCACTACTGCTCGTGGATGTCAATATATTCTGACATATCGGAGAATATAGAATCTATACGCATACGTACACAAACATTACGCGGGTGTGCATACCAGATCCACATATCCACATACCATTCCACAGCGACAGTAGTCCAGTATCCACACGGGTCGGCATCATGGGGGAGGTGGCATATGAGATAGCGCTACAGCTATGATAGCTTCATTCTTCTGAGGACACCCGTGAAGATACTCGTTGTGAGACCACTTTTCAAAGCATGTGCCCTACGCACAGCAGTAATACGCTGTCGTCATCCATCTACACTGCTGTACACCAAAGATTCTTGTATCTCGCAGGTTAAGTTGTTTGTTCGAAGAGCAGAGAGACGCACAATGAATAGATTTATATGATGTTATGGGACGGCCGTAGGACAGAGATTTACATACTACTCGGAGAAAGAAGTTTGTTTTTTAGAAACAAAGGCTCCGGTTCCACGAAAAAATAGGAAAATAGAAATATTACAGCTCAATCAATCTGGGCCACACTCGTAGAAGAAACGTCTCCGTAAGAAAACAGACGACACTCTTGTACTATGTACGCACGAAACGAGGGGTTACGGGCCGGGAGTGTGTCGAATAATAAGACTTGGAGAGATACACCAAGCAAACAGCTTTTATCTCTTTCCTCCTCTCCCATGTGCTACCCACCCCCTCAGCGAGACGTTGTAGCTGATAAAAGTTCGCTTCTAGGGTGCGTGGTCTTCGTGTATGATCTGATGTACAACCGTCGGTGGTGGTGAGAATCGGGATTGAGTACGGGAAAGCAGCGCAAATCACAACGGTAGTTTTGGCAGCATGTTGCGTGTACAATAAGCAAACAGAGCAGAGAAAATTAGACACTGTTGCCGATCTATGAAAATATGGCAACCCACAGAAGCAGTAGTTTTGCGAAAGTCTACGCTCTGCCAGCGGGTTTTGGGAGACAGATGTCTGTAGAAGTTCTTGTGTTGGTGTGTGTTGGTGGGATGCGGAGCATGTCCCTGTAGCTGCTGCAATGCGGTAGGTAGCCAGAAGGTTTTTCCGTAAAAAAAAAATGTTCGCGGTCGCTTTGGACGAGCGCGGTTTCATCGAGGTTGCGTGAGGACACTTCGTATTCGCGAGAAACCGGGGGACACAATGGTTTATCATCGAACACTTTGCGACATATGGTCGCAAGGCTTGGTTCGGACGGCACAGGGTTGCCGTTAACCTCGCTAAAAATACGAGACAGAGCGTCGGGGACGACGTTGAGTTTCCCCGGCAAGTGTTTGACAGTGAAGTCGTAGTTCTGAAGTGCGATAGCCCAGCGCGTCAACATGTTGGACGTGTCTTGCATGTGGTAGAGACACGTGAGCGCTTGATGATCGGTGCTAAACGTAAAGTGACGCCCCCAAAGGTATGGGCGCCAGTGGGTGAGGGCCCAGACAACCACAATGCATTCCTTCATGGTGGCGCTGTAATGGCATTGGCCTTTTCAAAAACGTTTACTGTAAGACGCGACGATATCGAGTTCTTTACCGTCGGCACTATCGCGGGATGGTTGAGCGAGGAAATCGCGTGCGGCTTGTTCAGAGGCGTCGGTGTGAACGTCAAATTCTCGAGAGAAATCGGGAAAGTGAAGGACAGGGTTAGGGGATAGAATTATCTTGAAGCAAGCGTCCCTCCATGTGGAAACATGGGAACGCCCCTAGGTCACATGTCAATCTTGGTCGCGGGGGGGGGGATAGGTCTTCTATATGCCCGGGGAAGGACATTTTGACAAAACCCCCGGGGTTTCGACATTTTTCGGGCGCTTTTTTCAGCGCGCGCGCGCGGGGTCCCACACAGAGAGCTAGTGGAAACTATGGAAACGCCCCCAAGAATACGCGTCAACCTTGGTCGCGAGGAGGGTCTAGTGTATGGTGTAGGAAATATAGTAGTCAAGACGGCACAAAAGCGGATTTTATGGTTTTTACAATGCGTCACGAAAGTCTATCCAATGAAGAGTATATTGGTTCACTGTGGACACACTAAATCCTATACAAAAGACTGCTGCAAATGAGCCGCTTTCAGTGGCTATCCTGCGTGTCAATCTTGGCCCGGGAGGGGGGGGTTCCACGGTTTCCACATAGAGGGGCCCTAGCTTGAAGTTTTCGAAGGCGGTATCTTGGGTCGGCCCCCATGTTTTTCTAAAACTAGCACGTGACATAATCCTTTCGAGTGAGTTCGACCAGCGGAGCAGTGACATCGGCGTAATCTTTGATGAAACATCGGACAAAACTCACCATGGCTAAGACGGCTGGGAGATCTTTGATGCGGTGGGAGTGGGCAGGTTGCGAATGGCATCGATACGGTCGGTACCGACAGAAATGCCTTCGGCAGAGATGACATGACCCACATGGTCGACTTTTTTCTCACCGAATTGAATTTTGACGGTTTGAGCGTAAGACCTGCTGCTTGCAATGATGTGAGATGACAAATGAACTTCGAACGTGTGATTGATATAGATCAAATCATCCATGTACGAAAGAACACCGGAGTCTGGACCTAGGTGACCTAGAGCGAGAGACATGACATGTTGGAAAAGCCAAGGTGCATTAGCTACTCCAAACGGCACGTGTTTTAAACAGTACTTGCCGGTAGGGGTGACGAACACAGTACAGTCCACGTGCTCCTCCGCCACGGGGATCTGCGAGAATGCGCTGAGGATGTCGGCGACGGTGATGTAGAGCGCTTGGCTGACGGAATCTAGGCAGGACTCGAGATTACGCGTTGGCCAGGTTTTACGGACGATGTGGCGGTTGAGATATGGCGGTAGTCCACGCAGAAACGGGTACTGCCGTTTCGCTTTACGACGAGAGCACATGGGCTTCCCCATGCGCTGGACCGTTTTTCAACGATTCCCCATTAGAGTATTTCGGCGAAACATTTGTCGGAGACGGTTGCGACACGGGGATTTGGACGAAACGGCGGACTATCGACAGGACGTGTGCTGGGTGGCACGGGGGACGCGGCTTCTGCAATGGTGCAGCGGCCTACGGACATTTACAGAGAAAAGACAGGACGGTATTTTGCGCACAAGTCGAGGACAGCTTGTTGTTGCTCGGATGTGAGCGTGATATTGTCCGAGGCTCTTCGATTCCGGACTTGGCGTGGCGATTTTCGTCGTCGGTGGCGGGTGTGTTTGCGACAGAATTTACATGGATTTGGTCTGTTTCATTGGCAGTTCCTGTGGACAATTGACCGAGACATAGGCAGTCATAGAGGCGGACACCATCTGAGAAAGGATTGGCGATGTGGACAGCGAGAGATCCATCGAAAGCGTGCCATGCAGCTAGAGTACCGGCAAAGACAATGTTTTGGGAAGGACTGAGTGTTTCGTGGTGGGACAAGTATTGTTTGGAAACGATTCGAGGTTCGACAACTGCTGCACAATATTCCGGTGGACAACAATCAGTGTAGGCGACAGCAAGCGCCTCGCGCAACCGTGGGATATCGACGCGTTCACGCAAGAACACAGCGACTTCTATGTAACCGCTATGGACAGCAGCCACGGACGGTTTCGGGTCGTGGCGACGATTTCGACGTGGAAGTACTGGACGAGTTGGTGCGGTGGACAGCTGGTATTTGCAAACCAGAGGACGACAAAGACAGAGCTTGTTGTTCCCAATCAACATGACGCTGTTGTCTAACGGTATGGAATCGGGTCCTAGGGAGGGGACGACAAGAGCGGTGACCATACGAGTGATACCGCAAAGGGTTAATGGAAAATCAATGAACCCCATGACCTCTATCGGCGAGCCGTTCGCTGCTCGAAGGGATACGGCAGCCGGAGGAACAGGTTTAAGTGGCGCATTTCGCAAGGTTGGATGGAATTGCAACCAAGGAAGCGACACGACGGAGACATCAGAAGCTGTGTACACTGTGATTGTTACTCACGGGACAGTGTTCGACGGAACCGTCAGTGCGTCGTGAAGACAGAAACAGGCAAGAAATATTGGGTTTGTGATCCAGTCTTGAGCCGTACCACACATCGTCTGAATTGTTTTTTCCACCCACGGGGAACACGTTCCCTTCCTTGACACTTGAACGTAAACACGAGCGGCGACGTCGCGATTGTCTACGGCAACAGAGATAACCGGGTACGAAGGCGGACACAAACTCAACTTCAGCAATAGTGACACGTCTCCGCGGGCCAACATCGCCACCACGGCTTCAGACAGAAACTCTCACGGAGCTGAAGATACAGCGCTGCTACTATCAACCGCAAGACGTTTGTGCGACGATGGCAGAGGCTCTCCCTCCTCGGCATCAAGCACTGGGGAGAGGACACATAATTCAGACAAAGCAGTGAGACCCAAAAGCTTTCTCTCGGCACCAGGAGGACGAGCACGTACTCTAGGCACCACGCAACTACCGTTTCGGACATCGACACGGGGCACAACAAAAGCGGGTGTACCGATAGCTACTGACGTGGAGAGTTCCCTCCGCACGCCTTTCCTACCAAGTGCAGGAGACATCCCAACTACCGCAGGCGCTACGTCAGCTGGGCAACCCTACGCATCGCTATCGTGGCTAGAGTCCTTACGAGGGGTGCGGACCTCCGCACATGAGCGCTTCGCCGTAGGGCGACTATTCTCACGGCGGTTTCAACCCGCCTTCGCTTCCTCGCGCTTCTTTTGGAAGCCACTTTTCTGTAGTGTGGCCGATTGGCTTCTCGCACGTGGGGTGCGAGCAGCGAGGACGCTCCCTCTTGGTGGGGCGGCGGGAGTTGCCGCCACCGCGGTTGTTGCCGCTGCGGGGCGTGCTCCTGCCTGTGGCGGACGAACCACCACCCGACGAGGGCGCCGACCTGAATGCCGGGGTGCGGCCCCGGTTGTGCCGCGCGGTGTCGAGATTTTGAGACGGACAGGCGCGGGACGGGACAGGGGTGAGCAAAACAGCGCTGACAACGGGGGTTTCATCAGACAGATTCGCTGACTCGGTACGGCGGGCGCGCGATCGATAGGCTCCCGAAGGGCTTTGACAGTTATTTTGTCCAGTACCTTGGACCGAACGTTGGGGGCAAGGCCGTTTTGGAATAGAATTGCCGCGAGCGCTTGATACGGCGAGCGGCCCGTGGTAGCCCGTGCGACAGCTTGTTCAAACCGAGTGGAATCAGTATGGAGACGAAGGGCATATGAGCTAACGTTCTCATTGCTCTCTTGACGGAGGTTAACAAGACGGAGGGCGCGCCCCTCGACTATGTTGGAGGGCATGAGACGATCTAGGAGAGCAGTTTTTGAGCTTACCAAAGTGGTGGGCGAGGGGTAAGAGTTTTGCTTGTTCGACAGTCTCGTGAGAGACGGCGGCGGAGGAACAATCGATCTTACCCGACATCATCTCTTGGTAAATCTGCAACGCGGGACCATCGCAGACGAGGGAGAACGATTCGAACGCGACCGCATCACCGCGTTTTTCGAGTTCGGTGACAGAGATGTTGGTGGGGGTAAGCGCCTTTCACCTTGAAGCCAGCAATCAAGCGGTACCGGGACAGGACGGAATTGACACCAACCTCGCTCTTGCCGTTGAGGCGGTGAATTTTTTTACGTAAGTGGGAGACAACACGACATGTTTTTCGGTGAGATAGCGCGTCGGCCAACGACCGAGTCAAATCCGGGACAGACGGGGTGTGCGACGAACCACCGACAGACAAGACAGGCTGGGCCACACGCTCGGCAACCCGTCTGGCCTCGTGCAGGCTTACCAGACGGTCCATAAGCGTTACGACATGCGGAGGCAGCTCGGAGATGCGTCCCTCTGCAAGTAGATCCAGGTGCATGTCGACCACCCTCTGGATCCTCGAGATTGTGCTGGACATGTTTGTTGCCGTGGACGGTGCGATGGTCATCGAACTAGCCGGGCGGTTGAAGTATGCGCGGTAGGCGGGCAAGTGCAAATCGTGACATACGGGGGCGCGCGGACTGTACGGAACGGTCCGCAGAACAAGCGAAGGAACAGTTGGAAAGAGGGCCTCGGTAGGACGTATGTAGTAGCTACACCAGAGACTCACATTTTCATGGATATTTTCCATAAACAACAGCATGAATGATTGAAGCTGTGCTGCTGCTGCGTTCGTACATGTTGGAACTATAGGCACCTGAGGGCACAAAAACTGGTTGTCCAGTTTTTTGTGTTTTTGTTCATGCGTGTTGATCCCTATACAATGTATGGACGGTCGACGTCGTCTCTACCCTTTTCATGCCGGCATGTGTTCGGCAGCAAGTGGTCTTTGTTAGTGGTCTTTGTTGAAGAGGAAGGACTTCCTGCCATTGCACGATCCATGATCACATGAGCCGCGGACCCCCCCCCCCCCCCCCCCCCC